TTTTCAGATTTCATTGATTTCCATTCTGATCTTTATTATTTCCCTTCTTCTGATGACTCTGGGTGTACTTTGCTCTTCTTTTTCTAGTTTCTTAAGGTGGAAGATGAGGCGTTTGGTCTGAAACCTTTCTTCTTTTCTAATGTAGGCATTTAGTGCTATAATTTCCCTTTAAGTATTGCTTTAGTGACATTCTGTAAATTTTGATATGTTGTATTTTTATTTTCATTAAGTTCAGCATACTTTTTCATTTCCCTTTGATTTCATCTTTGACCCATGGTGTACTGGTCCGGGTCCTCCAGAGAAACAGAACCAATAAGATCTATAGAAATATATATATAAGAGGAGATTCATTATAGGAATTGGCTCATGCAGTTATAAAGGCCAAGAAGTCCCATAATCTGCCATTTTCAAGTTGGAGAACCAAGAAAGCTGGTGGTATAATTCAGTCTGAGTCTGGAAGCCAGAGAACCAGAAGGGCAGAGTGGGGGAGGTTTAGGCCCTGCTGGTGTAAGTCCTGGAGTCTGAAGGCCCAAGAACCAGGAGCTCCAATATCTGAAGTCAGGAAAAGATGGATGTCCCAGCTCAAGAAGAGTGAGAGAGAGAGAGAGATCACCCTTCCTCTGCCTTTTTGTTTTATATGCACCATCAATGGACTGGATGATGCCTGCCCACACTAGTGAGGACAGATCTTCTCTACTCAGTCTACTGATTCAAAGGCTAGACTCTTCTGGAGACGCCCTCATAGACACACCCAGAAATAATGTTTTATCAGCCATCTGGGCATCCTTTAGCCTGGTCAAGTTAACAAATAAAAATAACCATGACCCATGGGTTATTTAGAAGTGTGTTATTTAGCTTCTGAATATTTGAGAATTTTCCAGAAATCATTCTGTTCTTTATTTCTAATTTAAAATTCCACTGTTTTCAGAGAGCACACTTTGTATGCCTTGAATCCTTTTAAATGTAATCAGACTTGATTTATGGGCCTGAATATATCTATTTTGGTAAATGCCTCATGTGCACTTGAAAAAAAGGTGTATTTTGCTGTTGCTGAGTGGAGTGGCTTATAGACAGTCTGCTACATCTAGTCTTTTCTTTTCACTCTAGTTCCCTCACCAGAGAAAATGACTATTAACAGTTGCTTTTGCATCCTTCCAGAAAATTCCTACACAAATATGAGTATTAAACTATACTTCTATTTTAAAAAGCCCCCAAGATCATATTATGCACATAGTTCTGCATCTTTCTTTTTTCACCTAACACAATAGCTCAAAGAGAGATCCATATTAGCGTAAATATATCCACCTTACTCTTTTTAACAGATGTATAGTGTGCCACTGGTGGATGCACCATAATTTATTTAACCTGACTCCTGTTAATGGCTATTTAGGTTGTTTCCAGTCTTTTGCTGTGATGGTGTTGCCATAAATATTCTTTTTAGTCACGTCTTTGTGCCTATGTGGGAGTTTACCTTTAGAATAAATTCTTAGAAGTAGAATAATTGGGTTAAAGAGGACATGCATTTTTAATGGTGTTAGATGTTGCCATATGGCATGGAAGAGACTTCCATGTTTCTTCTGGAGAGATTTAAAAGAATTTCTCCTTCTACTGACTGAGGCAGACGATCTAAGAAGTTAAAAAAATCCTACAACTTCTTTTCAGATAATTTGTATCATACTTAAAAATTTAAAAAGAAAAATGACCTTAAACAACTACTACTAATTTGTCTTTTTTCTTGAGCGGTGTCAGATGTTCAGATTTTGCCCTCTCCATCAGCAAATTGCCCTGCAATCATCTGCAAATTGCCGGGCCTTCATATAGCTGCTAATGCACGTCAATGCAGACTGTACTGCAGCAGGGCTGGGGGCTGGGCAGGGAAAGGAGCATCAGGACACTGTATCCCGGCAACACAAAGAGTGAGCATCATCTGTCGGTAATACAGAAACCTCTTGAGCCTCAGGAGTTTGGAACCAACCACTCAAGGAGACCCTGGATAATTTCAAAAATGGAGTTTTTATGGGAAATTTTAAGACAGTGCATGAGTGTGTGTGTGCGTGTGTGTGTGCGTGCACACGTAGTCTTACAGGCTCTTCCTTTATAATGGACACTGGGGAAAAGAGGCAATAGACCTTGGTTATAGCTGACAATTATTTATGTCATTAGATTTTATGTGAGCTTGTTAGACACACAGTAAAAACCATCTCAACCACTTATTATTGAACCTTAGACCAAGGGATAAAAGAAGAACAGGGGGAAACAATAAAGAAAAATTTCAGAGAGACACAAGGAGCCTTTATATTCGCTCCTGACGGGGAACAAAGACGACCTTCCCACATAACCCAAATTCTTGGAAAGTAAGTCTTTGGAATTCGGTTCACCATTGAATTATAGATAGCAGCATCTACTTGAAGATTTCCTGCCTATTATTTCCTCTCTGCCCTAATTTTTCATCAGTTTTTTGTTTTTCTTTTGCTGAAACCAATTTGGAGAGGCCACATTCTGAAAGGCAGGATAGTCAAAGATGATTCAGGACTACGACAAAGAAGAGGTTGTTAAATTTCATACCCTTCAAAGAAAGCACTTTGGAAGTTGTTAAATAGGTACTACGCACTCATTAAATACTCTGTGATGAGATCACAGTGACCAAAATCAATGCTCAAGCCCTAAATTTCCTCAAAAGTTGACTGAAAAATGCTTGGCCACGTTGCCTCCACTTATCACCAAACAAGGATAACTAACTCGCCCCCAGTGACGGAAAATACGAGGGCTAAAGGCAATGGCTGCACAGGGAACCCCAGGAACAAAGGTGGTGGGTCTCCACTATTGTTCTTTGTCTAACCATCAACCAATTAATATTTATGGAATGGATGTCCACACACCCTCACGCTAGCTCAGCTTCTACAAAGCTCCAGCACGTCAGTAGGTTTCAGAAAAGAAGAGAAAAGAACAAAACACAATGATATCTACTTTTCTTTTGGACATTCTAATTTACTGATGTCATGTCATTTAACGTTGATAAGCCCAAACCACGTCATAAAAGGAGACACGTGCACAGCAGATCTGTGGAATGAATGAACGAATCCACAGGCTGGTGAGCTGCACAGAGATGTACGTCACCAAGGGGCCAGGACACAGACTCTGCCACATGTTGCTCACAATCTAGGCGGGATCCATATCAAGGTTGTGGACATCTGTTCTTTTTGCCCTCTCAGTGTCTCTTCCGTCTTTTTCTGGGTACAGTGCTCTGGGTTTCTTTGGGAAACCACCTCCCCCTCACTCTCAGTCCTTGTGGTCCGGGTGGGGCTGACCCCAACTCTGCCTCCAGCTGTGGGCATGAGAACCAGCTCTTCTGTTCTCATGAGAACCCATCCCAGCAGCCATCCCACCAGCCACAGAGACTGGTTTGAGGATGGGCATCTGACCTAAGCGAGGCCAATGGGAGCATTAGCTGGGACTTCTGCAGGAACCATCAGGAAGGAGGAACTCTCTCTGCTGGGGTGGACAGCAGGCAGCAGGACCGAATCCTGGAGCAGCTGGCGGCCATCTTTGCCACCATAGAGGGAGAGCCTGCTTGAGAGGGAAATGAACCCAGGAAAACGCAGAGCTAGAAGGAAGAGAGTGATGGAGTCCCAACATTTTCATCTGAGCCCCTGGACCCAGCCCTGAACTCCTGTGCATCTTGGTTACATACATCTAAAAATTCCTTTTATTTTTTTTTTTGCCTACACTAGTTTGAATTGAATTTTCTTTTCTTTTTTCTCTTTGTGAGGAGGACTAGCCCTGAGCTAACATCCGATGCCAATCCTCCCCTTTTTTTCTAGAGGAAGATTGGCCCTGGGCTAACATCCGTGCCCATCTTCCTCTACTTTATATGGGACGCCGCCACAGCACGGCTTAACAAGTGGTGCATCAGTACGTGCCTGGGATCCGAACCTGCGAACCCCGGGCCACTGAAGCAGAGTGCATGCACTTAACTGCTGCACCATCGGGCCAGCCCTGAATTTTCTGTCTTTTGAAGCCAAAAAGTCCTGACTAATAAAAGGGTGTCCTAAAACTGCTGTGTCATTGGAAAGGCATGCACTTAAGGATTTTTTGAAGGATTCTAGAATTCTCAAGGACCTGGATTAGAGAGAGAACCAAGGTTTGAAGGCTCTGCTCTTCTGTTCCCAAATGGGTTTTAGATAACATAGTCTCAGCTGTGTGTGGCTAGCGAGTAGCCAGAACACTGGTTATGGAGTCCAACGGGCCTGGGTTTGAATCCCAGCTCCACCAGTTACTAGCAAGTCACGTATCACTCTGATCCTCATTGTTCTTATCTGGAAAAGAGGGGGTAATTGAGAACCTATTTTTGTGAGGATTATGACTTTCCTTATCACAGCTTGTAATTATGTATTTGTGTGGTCATTTGATTACCATCTGCAAAGATCAAGTCTATACTTTATTTTATTTCCCAAATTAAGGGTTACCTGGAAAACAGCGGATGCTTAGTGAATATTTGTTGAATCAGTACATAAATAAGAGATTAGAGAAGACCACACAGGTATGTCCTTGGCACATAGTAGATGGGCAATAAATACTAGTTTCCTTTCCTAGAGGACCAAGGCTCACAAACTCCACTTCCTACAAGGGCCAGGCAGGTAAGGAACTTGAGGTGAGCTGGCTAGACGTGGAATTGCGAGTGCCTGTCCAAACGGGGCAGACATTACTGAGCTCTGGCCAAGCTTATCACTTAGAATGTGGACCTAGAGTGATCAGATCTTCTTTCAAGAGAAGGCAGAAATGAGAATTTTTAGCTAAAAATTTCTGACTTTTAAACATGGGTGCAATTAGACACACACACACGCACACACACACAGAGAAAGGCCAACAAAACATGTCCGAGGGCTGGATTTGACCCTTGGGTGACCAGTTCATTACAATGGGACCTGCGTCCAGTCTACCCTTCACGTAAGAGCGCAGACCACAGCCACAAATGACTGTGCGACATTGACTGTACGTACCGGCAAGCGACTCAGAACTCTGGTTGGGGACGTTGTGAGATGCCTCCTGGAGGACGTAGGTGGACGTGGAGAGGGGGGACGGGCAGATGCTGCTGGCAGGGACGTATGGAGGGCTGTAGGACGAGCTGTAATACTGGGAATACTGGCTCTGGGGGAAGCCGGGGTAGGGAGGATAGTCCTGGAAAGGGAAGCACACAAGCGGTGAGTGAGGAGGCCTGTCTGGGCCTGGGCCTTCAGTCAGTGAATGAGGGCAGAGGGCCTCGTGGGCTGGTCTCCCGTGTCTGTCTCTGTCTCTCTCCCATCAGAATAAAAGCTGTGCGAAGGCGGGGACTTCCCCAGGAGCAGATCTGAGACAAGGATTCAAGTGCGAGTAGCATATCTGGGAGGAAAGGGGGCACCGGTTGGGGCGTGGGGAAGTGAGACAGTGAAGGAGGGAAAGCAGCCGGTACAGGGGCTTCTAAGTGGGGACTGGAGCGGAATTCTACTGGGGAAATGCTGGGATCGTATAAAACACACATCTCAGAACCACCTGTCCGAGGGGCAAGGCAGCTGGGGTGTCTATATACCAACTCCAGCCAGTGTCTGTTTAGTGCTGCCCCCAGGGGTACTATATACATAGATAAAATATAGAGTACACCGGCATAATACAAAATTATAGGAAACAATTTTCATGTAATCCAAGGTTTAAATTATTTAGATTCTTCAGCTCACTAAGAAAGAAATAGTGGATTCCCCATATTTAAATATATTAACTATTCCTAAAGCCCATCCACCTTGGGGTAGTTTTGTTTCAACACTAGCCTGCAAGCATGTTACCCTTTTGTTTTGAAATAATTTTGGACTGAGAGGAAAGGTACACAAACAGTACAGAGTTCCCCTACACCTTTAGCAGGTTAATTCTTAATTCACTCTCGAAGAGAAACCAAGAGAATCCAACTATTAAGCCAGCGTTCACCTTGACATGCTTGACTTAGTTCGATTTAACAAGCATTTATAAAGCCCCCACTGTGAGCTGGGCACGCGGCACTGGGATGCAGAGAGAAGAAGATGTATTTTCACCCTTGAGCAGCTCATGGCCTGGCGAAAGAGCACGTGGCCTTTGCATTCATATACTGCAGAGTCAACAGTCAACGGGTGTCTTGGGCTCAGGTCAAGATGGAGCATATAATGTCGTCTATGTCCTCTTGGAAATCTTCTAGGAATATAGAGGATTTATACCTTTCCAATGGCTTTGTGTACAATCTGGCCCCTGTAGCCCCCAAACCCAGGGAATAAGAGGCTGTGTTTCTGGCGGAGGTCGTGGGCACAAATGGGCTCTCTGGGCGCCCTGAGTTAAGGGGACCATTTAAGGAAAGAACCGAGGAGACAGCTGGTGGGGAGCTATGCTCACCTGGTGCACACTTCCGAATCCGGCCGCGTTGGTCAGTCCATTGGCTCCTTGATAGATCCCGGCCGTGCCTGCGGGAAGGAGGGACAGGGGTACAGATGAGGTTTCTCACAGTCAGAGGGGGTGCAGAGGAGAAGGATGCAGCAGAGAGGGGGGGTCATTGAGGTCTGACAGGCTGGGATGGAACCTGTGGCCTTAGCAAGTCACCAAACGTCTCTGAACCCCAGTGCTCTCAATAATGAATAAAATGACACCTTCATCAAAGGATTGTGGTGAGAAATAAATGAGACAGAGCACATAACACAGTTTCTGGTATTCGATAATCATGCTTTAAAAATTAATTATTTTAAAAAAATGTAGTAAATGTACATAACAATTTACCATTTCAACCATTTTTAAGTGCACAGTTCAGTGGCATTAAGCACATTCACATTGCTGTGCCACCATCACCACCATCATCTCCAGACCTTTTTCATCTTGTGAAACTGGAACTGTGCACCCATTAAACACGCACTCCCCGTTTTCCTGCTCCCCCCAGCCCCTGGAAACCACCCTTCTACTTTCTATCTCTATGAATTTGGCTACTCTAGGAAGCTCCTATAAGTGGACTCCTACAGTATTTGTCCTTTTGCGACTGGCTTATTTCATTTAGCATAACATTCTCAAGGTTCATCCATGCTGTCGCATGTGTCAGCATTTCCTTTCTTTTTCAGGCTGAATAATATTCCACTGTATGTGTATGCCACACTCTGTTTATCCACTCATCTGCTGATGGACACTTGGGTTGCTTCCACTTTTGGCCATTGCAAATAACGCTGCTATGAACAAATGGGTGTACAAATGTCTCTTCATGACCCTGCTTTCAATTCTTTTGGCTATATACCCAAAAGTAGAATTGCTGGGTCGCATGGTAATTCTATTTTTAATTTTTGAGGAACAGTTATACTGTTTTCCACAGCAGCTGCACCATTTGACATTCCCATCAACAGTGTACAAGGGTTCCAATTTCTCTGTATCCTCATCAACACTTATTTTCTGCTTTTGTTTGACAATAGCCATCCTAAGGGGGGTGAGGTGGTAATAATTATGTTTTGAATAAATGAATAAAGTGACTTTACCCTCTGAGCTTTAGTTGTCCCATCTATAAGTTGGGAAGATAAATACTACCACTAATAGAAAATACGATTTAGTGAGTGACTGAGTACATGAATGAAAGAGTGGGGTGTCCTTTAAGATACGGTGGTCAGGGAAGGCCTCTGAGATGACACGTCGGCTGACACACGAATTATGAGAAGCAGCCAGCAATGGAAACATCTGGGGGGAGGAGTATTCACAAAGCATGAGTGCAAAGACCCTGGGGTAGGGACTAGCTTGACAGGTTAGAGAAACAGAAAGAGGGCCAATGGGGCAGGAGCCCAGAGAGAGGAGACAGTGGCTATAGCAACGACAGCAGTGACCTCGCCTGTGTCAGGTGCCACTCTGAGCTCTTCATGGGGAAAGAGAGGCATGAAAAGTCAAGTAACGGCCCTAGGCGACACAGACAGTGAGTGACAGGGCTGGGGCTGGAACTCAGGCAGCCCGGCTCTGGTCTGTGTTTTCAACACCACTCTATGCTGCTGTTGCTGCTTCTTTTTAAAATTGTCTTTTGGGATATAATTTCTATACTATAAAATTCCTCCACTGTTAGTGTCCGTTGGATGATTTTTTAAGTGAAGTGATCTAACTGTGCAACCGCCAGCACAATGGAGTTTGAGAACATCTTCATCATCCCCAATGTTCCTTCCCGCCCGTTTGTAGCCGACCCCCCCCTCCCCCCAGCCTCAGGCAGCCACTGAGCTGTTGCTGATTGTAGAGTTTTGCCTTTTCTAGAAATTTCATAGAAATGGGATCATACAAAAGGTACTCGTATGATCTGGCCTCTTTCCCTTAGCATAACACTTAAGAAGCTCATGCATGTTGTAACATGTATCAGTAGTTCATTTCTTTTTATTGCTGAGTAGTATTCCATGGTACAGATGTACCACACCCAATTTTTGGCTATCATGGATAATGCTGCTATAAATATCTGTGTACAAGTCCTTATGTGGATACATGTTTTCATTTCTCTTGGGCTGACTCCTAGGAGTAGGATTGTGGAATCATGTGGTCAGAGTATGTCTTTCTTTTTAAGAAACGGCCAAACTGTTTTCCAGAGTGGCCGTGTCATTTTACATCCCTGCTGGCAATGCATGAGAGTTCCCGTTTCTCCCACATGTGGTATTTTCAGTCTTTTTGATTGTAGCCATCCTAGTAGGTATGTAGTAGCTCATTGTGTCTTTAAGCAGCATTTCTCTAACCATGTTGAGCATCCTTTGATGTGCTTATCAGCCATTCATGTATCTTCTTTGATGAAGATCTATTCAAATCTTTTTTTTTTTTTTTTTGCAGAGGAAGATTAGCCCTGAGCTAACATCAGCGCCAATCTTCCTCTACTTTATATGTGTGTCGCTGCCACAGTGTGGCTGATCAGTGGTGTGGTCCGTATCTGGGATCCGAACCCGTAAACCCAGGCTGCCAAAGCAGAACGCACCAAACTTAACCACTATGCCATGGGGCTGGCCCCTATTCAAATCTTTTGCCCATTTTTAAAACAAGTTAGGTCTGTCCTCTTATGACTGAGTTGTAAGAGTTCTTGATATATTCTGGACACAAGTTCTTTGTCAGATATATGATTTGCAAATATTATCTCCCAGTCTGCAGCTTGTCTTTTCACTTTCTTACTGGATTCTTTTGAAGAGCAAAAGTTTTTAAGTTATCAATTTTTTCTTTCATGGATCTTGCTTTTGCTGGCTAACTCAGGTCATAAAGATTCTTTCCTATGTTTTCTTCGTGAAATTTTATAGTTTTAGCTCTTACATTTAGGTCTATGATTTAACGTAAGTTAATTTTTGTGTATGGTGTGAGGTAAAGGTCTTAATTAATCATTTTGTCTCCAATAGTTCCAGCACCAATGTAAAAAGTTTATCCTTTCCCCCACTGTATTACTTGGCACCTCTGCCACAAATTAACTGACAATAAATGTGAGAGTTTATTTCTGGACTCTCTATTCTGTTCCACTGATGTACTGATCCTAAACCAACTCCATCCTGTCTTGATTACTGCAGCTTTACAGTAAGTTTTGAAATTAGGTAATCTAAGTTCTCCAACTTTGTTCTTCTTTTTCAAGATTGTTTTGGCTTCTATGTATAAATTCGGCATTTACCTATCAATTTTAGAATAAGTTTGTCAATTTCTATTGGCCAGAAGGAAGTGGCACATTTTTCAAGTGTGTCAACCCAGAATTCTATATCCAGTGAAAACATCCTTCAGGAATGAAGGGAAAATCAAGACATCCTCAAATTAAGGAAAACTAAGAGAACCTGTCACAACAGATCTACCCTGAAAGAATGGGTCCAGGAAGTTCTTGAAAGAGAGAGGGGGTAAAAAAAAAAAAAAAAAAAGGAATCTTGAAATATCAGGAAGGAAGACAGAAAAAGCAAAAGAGTAAAAATATAGGTAAATAAATTCTTTTCTCTGTGTGGTTATGCCACCAACTCAACATACAGTTAGGTTCATAAGAGTGTACTATCAAATTTTAGGAATTACTTTTGCAAATATGTTTTATAATTATATAAAATATTGAAATGGTTACAAAGTCAGTCTACAAAATAAACTATATCCCCAACCCAGGGGTGAGGGGGATATGTGCTGGGCACTGGGAAGGTACTGGAGAAGCAAGTTGCTGGGAAGCACTTTCACTAGGAGTCGGGGGACACAGGGTAGGGTTCCGTAATGCCAAGTGGGGAGGGGGTAGGACCAGGGAAGGCTTCCTGGAGGAAATGACATCTAAACTAATCTCTGAAGGATGAGGAGGACCTAGCCAGGTGAAGAAAGCGAGAACCAGGAACACGGCCACATCTGAGCATTCTCTCCTGATCTCCATTACCTGGCCTAAGGTCCAGATACCACAGAATCTGTCCACACCAGTGTGGCATGCCAGGATCCCATTCTGTCCTCGATGGCCGGTCCAGACACGGCTGGCAGAAGGTTCTGGCCAGCCTATTCCATTCAAGGTCATTTTTTGGGCCCTGGTTAGCATGGCAACCCTACCCACTGAAGCTTAGGAACACGCCTGCCTGAGGAAGACTCTTGGATGCCATGTTTTCTCTTCTGATTTCTCTTGTCTACTGTGTCAACCTTCTCAGTGACAACTTAGGGCAGGTTTGGAAACAAACAGGCCACAAACTCGTCCCTTGGTCTCCTTTCTCCAAAATAGCCTCTTGTTTGTTTTTATTTCGTGAGCCAGGGTCATCTGAAGAATGGACAGCTGAACAAACTGTAGTGTGCCAAGGGCAGTCACGAGCCCCTGCAGGGACATCCATCCCATGCCAGAGAGGACCCGGGAGAAAGGGGGCACGTAGCCCCAGAAATCTTGTGCCACAGTATGTGGTCTCCAGAGGGTGTTGCAATGGACCCACCTTGAGCTGGAATGTTAAACACCGACTTCTTGCCTCGGTCTGGCTGGTGGAATGCCCAGTGAGGGCTGGGGAAGACCAGGACGAGATGAGGAAAACATCCTCTCCTAAGGTGATGGAGGCAGGTCCTGCTAGTGGCCTCCCAGTATCCATTCACCTCTACTCTCTCAGATGAACAGAATCTCTGATTTTAAGCTGGGCCCATGGCTAATTAGAATAAGCACTATATTTCCCAGCTTGCCTTGTGGCTGGTGTGGCCATGTGAAGAGTTCTAGACGAGGGAAGAGGGGTAAATTAATGTGTTAACTTCCCAGGTGTGCCCTTAGAGGGCAGGGCTGGGTCTTCCCTTTCCCTGAGGGATGGGGCCACCTTGGATCACCCAGCCGAGCAACAAGATGGAAGGAGCTTGGGCCCCTGTCACATCTGCAGATGAGAACTGCCACATCAGTTTGGACTTTTAGGTAAGAAAGGAATAAGCTTCTTTCTTACTGAAGACATTGCTATTTTGTGCATTTGTGTGACACACGAAGAAGTGCCATCTTTTCTTTTGGTTTATTGGTTTTCTTGGGTTTTAAGTA